TGATATGCTGTAATTGCAACATGTGTTATTTTTATGCTGCAAATTTGATTAGGGAGTGATAAAGTTGGTGTTTCCTACTATATGTTATCAAAATATTCATTGTTAATACTTTAAACCTATAACACCCTGCTACATTTTTATTATTTGTGTTTGATAAGAAAAAAACAAAGATTTCAATAGTTGGGCCAACTGAAGTGGGAAGGGGCTCGTACATGTCGTATAACATCCAAAAAACGTATCTCATTTTCGAAATGTTTCGCGAGTGCAATACTTTCTCGCCAGTAGGCGTGGGAATAAAAAACAAAAACAAACTTTCTTAAACAAAAGATCTTATTCACCTTTTTCCCTTGCTAAGTAAGAGATGCATCAAATGATAGATGTCTCCTGCGTCTAAGCTTGTTTAAAGATCATTTTTAAGATAATGTTTCATGTACTAAAATAGTTCCAGAAGTTTATTAGACTATATTAACGTGAGAATATCATAACTGAGCATAACAAAACCACAGTGATAATAATTTACTGTCTGAATGAACTCATGCCAGTTCCCTTTCTATATGGAATTAGGTTATCTATTTAATTAATGTACGAGTATATAGCGAATCAGCATGGATACTTGAGGCGCAACTACGGAAAAATTAATTCAGTTCAACTGCATTTTAACTGCATTCGATGAGATAACCATCCTTGAATGTACACGAAGTATAGTTGTCTTTTGGTAAATATACTCAGAGAAATTTACATAGTACGCCCGAAATTCGGTGTATCATTTGCAATGGTAATTCAGGTACGCTCACGCTGTCTGAGAAAAAGTGGGCGTTTGCCAGTTCGCAATGTATATTCAACTTTTGTAAGTGAATATAAGGGGAATATATTCACATGTAGCGCCAAGAGAGAAATAACAAAATAATTTCTTGGGCGCCAAAATTATCACCCCACGATCACGATCATTGAAGGACCCTTGAAAACGAGTAGAATAGCCAATACAAGGTGGGCGTATATCGATATTTTAAGAAATCCGTCCTCACCACAAATTTCTCAAAAAATCGGAAACAGAAGTTTGAAAGCATTCTGATTTTTTTCTTTTTTCGCACGTAACTTCTCTGACTCTGTATTTCAACCACCTGCAAAACGTTCGCTATTGGCACGTTAGTTATTAGCCTTGCGACAAAATTTCTTCATCACCCGAGCAGTACATACTTGCTAGGATTACCAGATAAACGACAGACAGACCATCGGAAAGTGACATGGTTTTTCGTTATGAAACGTCATCTAACATCCAGAATACGTAATATTACGATTTTCAGAATTGACGCAAATACAATATCAATTGGCGTGGGAAGTAAAAAGTAAATCCAAAACGTGATTTGTTAGAAAAGGTGAGCTTAAGGCCGCCGTGAAATGCTCCAATAAATCCAGAAGGTAAATTCAGCACGCGCCACTCTGCTAGGAATAATTTAAATCTTTTTGGCTACAAAGGTATCGGTATGTCTGAAAACCATCTGAATCTGAACTAAATTTTTTTCGATCAAAAATATATCTGTATTTACGAACGGTTACAAAGCTGGACGCTAACTTGCCTAAACTCCCTTGCAAACTCGGCAAACTTGCTGTTTAGCATCAATATACGTAAGATGTGACTAGTTTTCATCGTATCATATCTTTACCCAAAATTTTGCGATCGGCTCTCCTTCTATAATGCAAAAGACTCTCAAGGTCAATGGGGCTTATAAATACAATCCACAAAGCATCTTCCCTTGGTATAACTACTATTTGTAAAGTATTACGAGTAATTAACTAATTTACAGCTTTTAAAAAAGTTAAGAGCTTCTTGCTACCGTTAATAAACCTAATGCCAGTAATCACGGATCTCAGCCGGCATGCCGCATCAATCGTATAGACGCAATCTAATTTATGTTGGCCGATTAGTTTTTATTAATTTTGTAGCGGCAACATGGATGGAACGATTCGATTAAGGAGAAGTGCAACGGTCTTTGAGTAGCGCCACGTAGTAGCGCTATGTTTTTTATGCACCGGAAAAGCTTTTACGCTGGCTACGACTACTTTGTGCTGCTGCCGTGATTCAAATTACGCGCCATTTGGAAATGTTGAAAGCTTGTAATGCCCGTTCCGCCAAGAGCAGCATTTAGGGATACGAGCATCGAACATCCATATAAACTGTGGAATGCTATCTCCTTTCTAAACTCTATGTATGTACTAACAATTGCAAGCCCTTGGGTGGAGTAGGGAGTTAAAACTTACAATGAGGAAGCCATTTTGTCTCAATATTTTCTGAAGTGGAAAACCGTTAACGCTATTTTGATTCCGAGAAAGTGACGTCAACTATAGTGTATTTACACCCAAGATAGAATGAATGCGGGATTGCCAAAAGCAAGGACGGCGTACAGGGCCGCATTCAGGGCTACATCCTAATGATGGACTACCACCAACGTGTTGTAAAATAAAGATGACAGTATTTAACAGAAACAGAAACTTAACAAATTACTCAAATACACTTAACAACAACAACCAAGCAAGGTAAATACGAAAACACGAGCACGCAGTGATACACGCGACGGACGGTGGCCTGAGTGCAACTCTGCCTGCCCTGTCCCTGCCCCGCGCATTATTCCGCCAGGCGACCACTTGAAATTTAATGGCGAATTGACCAATAAAAGGCGTTGTCCCCACCTGTTACCGAGAGGTCACGCGCTAACTGTTATTATTTACATCTCATCTTGAATTTGGATTCGGTTTAGGTGAGTCTGCACTTCCTACGCAACGCTGTCATCAGTTTATAAAAGATTATGTTCAGCACAAGTTAGCCACTTCCAGAAAAAACGTAAAACACGTATAACAAAAAATTAAATGGATTAAGTTAGATAAGCAGGATCATACAAATAGAAGGTACACGTTCAGCATGCTTTTCTGAACAATTTTGGGGCTCGTTAGGATTTGGCTCCCTGAGAAAATATGCTACTCCTCGCTCTTCCAGTTTTTGAGGCAAGTACTCTTCACGACAAAGTTATGCGGGCGCATATATGACCGAAACTATGATTAGATCTTGCGTGGAAGACGATCGACGGTCCACATCTACAGCACTCGAGCAGCAGTGGCCGACTGAGACGCACATGCATCGGCCGGACCACAAAGGCCTCCCAACTTTTAACCCGTACAAAAATTTTACTGAAAATGATCTCAAGTCTCTGAAACGTTCAAAAACCTCGTCTAGGTGGGTGGGTCAAGGATTAACGAAGAGGCAGACAATTTCTCATTTTTGAAATTTTTCGCGATTACGACACTCCTGTGGCGTAGGAAGTAAAAACATGACTCAACTTGTAAACGCCCCAAATCATCCGCTAGGTGTCTTTTCTGACTTGACCTTCAACTTGTGTCAATAACTGATTGCGACTGCCTTGAGTCACGAATCACATCAAGCTGTCAAACTGTGAACAGGCTTGTTTGGCCCATTCCTCCAATCAGAGGAGGCGTGACTTTCTTTCAGATTGTTTGCTATATAATAATGATAAATAGCCTTTATTAGTCACAGCATTACAAAACAATAAACTTAATAGGAAAAGGAAAAATGTGGATTGTCAGCTTACGCTGTTTTTCAACCGGACCTAAAGACATAAACATAATTGATAAACTAATACATGGGAAAAAGTACATAAGTTCAACATGGCACGGTTCACAACATCAACCAATCAATTACCTATAGAGATGCGTTAAGTTAAATTCTAGGCATTCGTTTGCTTTAAGGTCATCTTTAACCTTTTTTTAAAGTTGCTCAGGCTGAATTCTTTATACTGAGTGGACAAGCGGTGACATAGTACGAGAAATTGTGTGCGAACAATCGAGTCAAATGCCGGGAAATGAATAAGATGCGTTTATTCCCAGAGAAACTTCGATCGTATTGACAGAGGGGGAGGGGAGCTTTGTATAAAGATAAGATGGCACTTTAAGGAGAAGAGTCTTCTACCAGAGTTAGGCAACGCAGTTTCCTCAATTTGTCCATCTTAAGCCACTCCAATTGCCCATAAGCGCCACTGATATGATCTAATTTACGAATTCCATTCATGCTGCAAGTTAATGATGAAGACACTGCATATGATTTGCAGACAGGTTTGGTTTTCTCACATGTGAAAAATAGTGCTGTTTTGCGTTAGGTTATGCGTCACGCGCCGTAACGTAGGCAAGTTTACGAGGGATGTCTTTTAGGTTTTGCATATAGAAACATAGTAGGCCACGCGGATCGAACGTCAGTACTGAATCTTAACCTCACTCTTTAGTAAACTTAAATTCAAAGTTTCACAACAATTCGTGCAGTGTTCTCACTACAGTGAAGTCATTAGAAAAATGGAACTCAACCGAGAACATTTTCGCCCCATAATTTCTTACAACTTTCAGAGACAATTATCGCAACAAGAATGCCTTGCAGAGTTACTGTCTGTTTTCGGCAACGAAGCGCCACATCAGTCGACAGTTTCCCGTTGGTATGGAGAATTCAAACGTGGACGGGTGAGTCTTAGCGACGATCCCAGGGTGGGTGCACCAAAAACGGCAGTCACCCAGAAAAACGTCGATGCTGTGCGCATACTCATCATTGAAGATGGACATGTGACATATCGCGAGATTGAGGCGTCCTTGAAGATCTCAAAGACTTCAATTCAAAAAATTTTGTATGAAGAATTAGGAGTAAGAAAATTAGTTTCTCGTTGGATACCCCACCTGTTGCCTGAAGAGCAGAAAGCAGCCAGGGTTAATTGGTGTCAAAAAACGCTTGACCGTTTCAATTCCGGAAACTCAAAAAATGTGTACAGCATTGTTAGTGGTGATGAACCGTGGATTTACTGTTATGAACCAGAAAATAAACGACAGTCGGCTGTTTGGGTGTTCCAAGGTGAAGAAAAGCCAACAAAAGTCATCCGTTCTCGAAGTGTTTCGAAAAAGATGGTCGCGACATTTGTGTCAAAAGTGGGTCATATTGCCAAAATTCCTCTTAATGAGCAAAGAACTGTTACTGCGGATTGGTATACCACCATTTGTTTGCCAAAAGTCATCACCGAGCTTCAAAAAATCAAACCCGAAAGAAGAATCATCCTCCACCAAGACAATGCAAGCTCGCACACAGCCCAAAAAATAAGGCAGTATTTAACACATAGTCCCGATCTAAGTCCTAACGATTTCTTTACTTTCCCGAAAATTAAAAACAGACTGCGTGCTCAAAGGTTCCAGTCACCAGAAGAAGCAGTTGACGCATTCAAAAATGCCGTTTTGGATCTGCCAGCAAACGAGTGGAATAAGTGCTTCGAAAATTGGTTCGAGCGCATGCAGATGTGTATTAATATTCGTGGAGAATACTTTGAAAAACAATAAAGTCATTTAAAACTACCTACCGTGTTGTTTTATTTCCATATGCAAAACTTAAAAGACATCCCTCGTATAAATTGATTTCAACTGCCAGCGACCGCGTTACGGTAACGGTACGCCGGCAGTACAGCAACGACAGAGTTTATAAATCGACCTTAAAATTTAAATCATTACAATTATTATAATGAAAAACAAGACTTTAATTTTTTTATGAATCCTTTACAATATTGTTAGACGATTATATCCGTCCCGTTCTATTATACACATTAACGTTCTGGAATATCAAATCATACTGAGTAGTCAATCTTATTATTCCTCCGCCATATCGACAACACCGCCTTCTGTACCGACCAAAACGTACATCTATGTATTTTTCTGTATAGAAAACCAGTTCTGCAAGTCGAGCAGTCCACCATTCACTATCTTGCAGCTCAAACAGCGCTCCGTGCCGGGTAATGTATAGTTCACCGCAAATAAGCAAACATATGAAAAACTTAAATTACCGGAGATCCGAAGAGCCATTCAAAATGTCGACTTCTGATCTATTTTGTGGAACAGGGTGTTCACAGGCCGAATCCCTCGAAAAGTAATGGCGTCGAGGAGATTGACGCTGCACTTCCCACGCAACGCTGTCATCGGTTCATAAAGGATTATATGGCGCATCGCCATGTCCCATTTCGTTAGATCACACGCTATGAATAGTGTGTAGCCGCTATGCTTTCGTTCGCCGTATCCAAAACGCTCGAAACAGCTGTCCATGGTTGTCTGCCTTTGGTTTACGGACGAAAGCAGATCATGTTTATTTTGTCATAAAGGATTATGTGCTGGAGACGTTAGATACGAGCATGTATAGCAAAAAGATAAATGGGTCAAGTCCGACAAACAGGTTGATACACTTAGATCATATTACCAACCATCTTGCAACGTTGCTGCGACTAACATCTGCACCCTGCTTTGGGTCCCTGGACACGGCGAAGTGCCGGCCCAAAGGAAAGCTGATCGCCTGGCTGAGCTGTGGGGGCAGCAGCACCTGCCACGTTCCCGAGTCTAGGCTAGCTAGAAGCAGGGGCCAGGTCAACACCGCCCTGAATGAATGGATGTTAAGGAATCTAGGAAAAGCATGGCAAGAGAGCGATGACTGCAGATGGGCCAAAGGGATAAACGTCAAAAAAAACCGACATAATTTCAACTTGCTGCCTAGATAGTTCCTAGTGTGCAAGTAGTACATTCCTTGTTTGCGCGCTATGAACGTCATCAAAAGCCTCTATATATGGAGGTATGACTCAGCGACACGACACCCTCAATGATCATGCTGCAAACTGCAAGTCAGTTCCCCATCATGCTCTGTTGGTTGCAGAATGCGAGATAGTCTGTAAAGTATACTTTGAGAAGATGTGTGGTTGAGTTGCAGAGTAGCAACATCACATTTGGATGATTGTGTTTATTGGTTTGCATGTGTATAAAATCAGACAGACAGGTTATTTGTGATGTCCTTTCTGAAGAGGGGTTATGTTCAAAGTTATACATCAAGATTTTCCTCGATTATTTTTTAAACTTTGAGAAGCATAACGAAAAATCAGCACTGCACCCGCGTGGTGTGTAATTAAGCCACACCACAAAAAAATAGGAATGACGCATCACATACAAAACATTTTCGCACTGCCTCACATCAAGGCGCTGATTTGTATTTTCTACTTGACATCGTAAAATAAATGTCTTCAAATTTAAATGACTGGAAATAAGAAGAGATAAATAATAATTCATATATGCAAGCATTTAAAAGAGATACAACATATCACTTCTCCTAAAGCAGCTCCGCATAAGCATCTTGGGCGCTTCCTACGTACATACGTATGTAATATAATCTACGGCAGACGCACATACTAGACGGCCAATCCCTGATAAGCATAACAATGCGACTCCATTGAAAGAAGCAAGCACTCCACCTCCGAACCGCGTACGGCTAACAATGTGGAATAAATAAACGTCTATGGACAAGTGCATAAGTGCTTGGCGGGTCCCACCCCCAATTTCCGGAGACAAAAGATCATCAACTACAGCTGCAGCACGCCTTGGTGGCTTGCTTGGCCGATGTCTGTCTCGGGGTCGCGAGCCACAGCACCAAGCACCAGCAGACAGGCGACGGACGTCTGCAAAAAATCACTTCGCGGTCCGCGGTCGCGACGTGGGAATATTCTCACAGATGGGAGATTTTGTTATTCAATATATTTTTAGTTGGCTCGTCATTACCAAGGACATACTCTGTTCTTCACGAGTACATAGAAAACGTTTTTGGAAAGGGAACTTTTCAAAAACTAGTGTTCAAGTAAAACAGCGCCAAGTATGTCGACTATGTTTGGCACAAGTTAGCCCTTCTGAAAAAAAAGTTAGCTACGAACATTGAACAATTGAACGATGATCCTCCTACCCTTGAGAGAAATTCCTGCAGGCGCGATCATTGCGATGACCAATCCCTCGTAAGTGACGATATTGGCGTTCACCGTGCGCAGTGCAAACATCCCAAAGCAGTGCAGAAGCGATTATCGACTGCAAAGTACGAAGCTCGTTCATTGGGGGACTACGACGCACGTATTCTCATGCGACTGTTGCAGATATTTCTAAGTTTTAAGGATAAATGTACGGGAACATATATGATGAGTGAAATATGCTCAATACTTGCGTAGAATTACTGGGGTTGGAGGCGTATAAATATACCAACGTCAAAAAATTGAGATATACCCTCCTCCACCACGACCAATGTTTAACCCCTACGAATATTTTTTAGAAAATGATCAGGAGCCAATGAAACGTCAATAAACACACACACAAAAGAATGATCTTGGTTGAAGAACAACTATCTTCAATTGAGGAACCGTGACTTCGATGTGTTTCTAAGACATATATCTTTGAATTAAGGTCAATTTCTCAATAATTGTAAAAGCTACGTTTCTTTATAACAACGAAATTACTTCATTCGAAGTAGCTGTGCTCGAATCAATATAATTGCATAGAAACTCATGCTTTTGAATCAACAGCACTCTTTTTGTGTGCAAAGTTTTGATGATTTTCAAAACCTACAAAGCTTTCTCGTGTTTGGCATAGAATTAACATTGCGTTGAAATTTCATCAAAATTCTAGCGGTACTTTCCAAGTTATAGAGGGGTTACGGATTTGCGGAGAGACAAACAGATAATCAGTCAGAATGACGGAAATTAGTGACATGGTTTTCTGATCTACATGTCATTCAGCATCCAAAAACCAACATCTCAATATAGAAATGTTTAGCGATTACAGTACATCCTCGCCAGTAGGCGTAAGAAGTAAAAAGTAATAAGACTGCACTAGATGGCGGCGATTTTAGCCTATGTAGTAGATGTGGTTGGTCTCCTTGTCATTGAACAAACTAGGCATGCTCTCTCGACTGTGGGATGTGTATAGTAGCTATGATTCCATTCGTTGACCCAGAGACGGTCGGACAGACAAAAGCAGGTCGGAGATGTTACCGCCTTCAGGGCTGCTGGTTTGTCAGAGATCAGAGCATATAAATAATTATCCGCACACTTCAGAATCCTGAATTAAGTTACCATCATGATGGAGAATCTCTGCCTGGAAGACTGCCGCACAGGACTCGAGTGCGACGCTCTTCTGCACATCTTTGCCCCGTAGGCCATAATCCTGTTCTTGATCCTTTCTTATTGGATATGTGTTTAACTTTGGAGGCTGTGGTGCAGAAATTTTGTAGTAAGTCGCGAGGAAATTGAAACGTATGGTGATAAGGTGACATTGGGAATCGCAGTAATAGCCAAACCGGATTGGCATCATATTATTCAAACTGGCGATAGTGGTAGTACTCCATTCAGCAACACGATATTTTGACACTCCTCCAGGCTGATTGAGCTTTGAATTAGCCAATTATCTCACAAGGTCCAAATCTACTCTTAATATGGATTGTGCTATTACTGTTGTGCGGGGTTCTTCACTAACGGGTCAACACATTGCACAGTGGAACTGAACTTGAAATAATGGCACGTTGCATGAATGACGCGTGCATGTGCACTCTGCTTTGGTCCCATGAGAACTTATTCGGAAATATATGTTTTGTGCGGGGTCCTTCACTAACGGGTTAACACATTGCACAGTGGAACTGAGCTTGAAATAATGGCACGTTGCATGAATGACGCGTGCATGTGTACTCTTCGCGGTCATTTGTTTTTGCAGCCTTACGACCCATCGGAAGAACGAAGAGAACGAATGACTATACGAGAAGATATTTAAAGAAAGGAAAATCGTTATCTCTTTATGGACCACATTCATTTTCTGTTATGTGCTTACAACAGAATAACATTTCTTGGTGGTGGTTTATTGTCAACAATAAGACTCAAATATCCTCAAAATCAAGCATCCGGATGTAAGTTTCAGAGAGTGACAAATAAGCAGATCAAATGTACAAAACTGTGTCAGGCAACATATCGGCAGATCAGTGGTTGCCTTTTTTTAAAGTCGAATGTCAACCCATGTATGGATGTTGATGGCAAAAGTCAATTTTCTAGATATGCAGGCATTTCACCTACATCTTGACGGTTACATGCGTGATACTGTTAATGAGAAGAAAGTATTAGTAGGAGAATTCTGGACCAACATCACCACCATCAGTTATAAGTATAAAACTACAAACTACAAAATCTTATATCACCTACATTTGAAGCCAACATATTTTTGAAGAAGTATTAAACTCCTTCCATACTTCGTATGGAATCTAAAATGACACATCCTTAATCGTTTCAAATTTTCCGCAATGTAAACAAGGATTTCTTGTGCCGATTGTAATCTTAACCGCCATTGTTCTTCGTTGGGTACCACCCGAAGGCACCACCGACCGCGGCTGGCATGGCATGGCG